GCCCTCACAGTCTGTCCCAAGCCAGCTATCTGCTTATGACTTGTTCCCTCTTGCCTACCAGTAAGGCTATTATTCACGGCCTCCTTTCCACTCTTTCATAAGCCACTTAGCAGTTTCACATTGTCAGTGAAACATCTTCCATGAGCTGGCAGTCCCTTCCTCCAGAGCCCTCCCTTTTTTTCCTGAAGACTTCTAGCGAAGTACTTGCTTTGCATTCCAGCTTTTAAGTGATTTTTTTCAAGCAGCCATTAATGTCAATAATCGATATTACTTCTGAACAAAACCAATACATATCCTTTACACCGTTTCTTCTCACCCAGGCACGTCCTGGAGACCTCTGGGAGCTCACTGACAGAAAAGCTATCAGGCAATGTGGAGTCTGCCTGCAAAGGCTCTCCTGTGGAATAAGACTGTCTATGACCCAGAACATGGGAGCACCCAGACTGGCTCCCTGCAGCTCTGGGTTTCTCCTCCTCACACTGTCTCCTCCCACCCTTCAGATTAGCACATTTGTTTTCTCCACACAGCTGCACAACTCAAACAAACTGAGTGGAGATGACCTCATTTCATATCCATGCCAGAAATAATGGAGATCTAGGATCACAAGGCACATTTAGCAGAAAATGACATAGGAGATTATATGAAATAACAGCTTGGGGTAGAATAGAAGGAGAAAAGGGCTGAAACACATATACAGGATTTTTATTTTTTTTTCAGTTCAGCGGTGATGAGGCCAATCAGATACTGTGTTGTGCCAGAGAAATGAGACGGAGATGATAGGACAATGTCACGAAAGCCAGCTTGATGCCAGGAGATATAGCCTTAAAATTCATATTTAATTACTTTACCTCATATCACCCTATCCAACTGCCTTACACAAATCAAGATAGTTTTGTTAACAGTTACTGAAATACTAAAACACAGTTTTAGCACAGAGATAGCAGTCCTCCAGTCCTGAACTTCTTTCCAAAGCAGTCATTAAGTTTGCTGCGTAAAGTTCAGCTGGTCTTACGTTGTTCAGAAAGCACTGTCTCACTACAGATGTTTTAGAACGACTTTCATCTTTTTACATGAAATGTTTATCTTTTCTTTACACACTTTTTTCATTCTGTCCTTGAATATCTACTGATTACATTCTTTTATCAACAGTTTGCTATGCTCTGTCTGTACTGCAGTTTTTTCTTTATCCAAATGTTGGTAGAGACTTAGACACCTTCTGAAGAACCTTTCTAGCTCTGTTTTTCTATGACTACTTAAAAAAATTGTTTTGGTCAACTCCTCTCCTCTTAGCAAAGGAAATCACAGGGCAAATAGTAAAGATTGCCCAGACACTGTGGTCAGTAGGACCACACCACTCCTCTGTGGAACACTGTGCAGGCTGGGATGGTACAACACAAATCCTGTTATCTGTTTGTTCAGGACCCTGGATCCATTGTTCAGGATCCATTCAATACAGTCCCATAAAAGTAATTCAAAAAGAACTTCCAGGCTCACTAAGTTCTCTGAATTCTCCAGCCTTCCTGCTGATACAAAGGTTATATTGAACATGAAAACTAATACAACTTATCAGATTTATATATATTTTTTTGCTATTATAAGCTGCAGGTATTTTTCTTCTTCTCTAGCATGTATTAAGCTGATCACTTTGTAACTGTAAGAGTGTTTCATGTAATCTGTGTCACACAAGAAAAAAAAAAATCACGTAACTAACTGAATTAACAGAATCCATCCAACAAAATTAAAGGCACTATGCTTACTTTGGCATTGAGGTAAGAATCCTGGCAAAACCAAAGCTATTTAGGATAACTGAAAGACAGACAGAGCCACAGTATCTCAGTGTTTTGTAAGGTGCTACGGATAAGAGGTGGAGCAACTCCTTTGGAAACTTTCCAAAGGTAATTGGGATTATTTCTCAACACGATTTCTGACCATGGCAGAAGTAGACACAACAACTAAAGAATGCAAAGAATTTTATCATACAAAGAAGATATATGACTAGTTACTAAGTTATGTAAAACAAACTGCAGATTTCAAGGCTTGTTTTAGAATTCTAAAAACAATGCAGAGAAGTAGGTTATACATTTAAAAGAGGAGTCAGGATTTTGACACTTTAGAAGCTGACAAGGAGTGCTTCAGAAAGATAAATGCTGGTATGTCAGAGATTGAACCAAATAACCTATGTGATACCATGACAGATACAATCTAGCTCCTACGTTGGCAGTCCAGTGAGTCATGCTGCAGAGCCAGGAGCTGGACTCCATCATCCTTACAGGTCCCTTCCCACTCAGAATGTCCTGTGGCTCTGCGATTCTACAGTCAATTAGAAGCCATTACACACAGCATGTGGGGCACATTTTCCAAACTAAACCATGATCCAGGTGCCAGGAAACATTCAAGAGCCCTGAAATAGAATACTGAATGAAGGCCTGTGTCATGTCTCCTGAAGTAGACAAAAGCTTCTCAACATGAGCAAGTCCTGGCAGCTTAGAAAAAAAAGTGCTCAGGGACAAACTGCTTGTTAATGCTAAAGTTCAGATTGCATCCAGATACTATAGGGTCTGATGCTATGTCTGTCAGTGTCTTCTTGAACTTATTAAGAGAAATACATTATATGTCATTTGCACATTTGACAAATAGCAACTTCAGCCTTAAAAGACATGGTTTGCTTGCAGGATTTGCATGGACAAGCAGATGCAATATTTTTTGTGTGTTTTGAGAAAAACAAAGTCTGGGTTCCCTCTCTGTAGGTCTTTGCTTTACTTAAACTAACAATTCCCATCAGAACCATGCCTTTCTAAGCAACTTGCTGGACACTGGAGACAACAGAAGCAGTAATCAGAAAGTGGGCCAGACAGAACTTGGGTGAGGAAGGTAATTAAATATGTGCTCTATGGGATACAGAGCAACAGAGTTTCCTCTGGGTTCCACCTTTATCCCACCATGGTCAGCTCAATTAGCATTATTGCTAACTGATTTCCATCATGATTTATATGGACTGTAAAGGAGAACTCTCCTGCAAAAGAGAGTTCAGGCACACTGAGGTCTCTAGCAATGGCTGTGCTTACGGGAAATGAGCAGAGGCACTGACAAATTACAAAGTCCAGTCTCTATGGAGAGCACAGATGCTCTTATTTACAGCTGATATTTCTCTCTCAGGGAAATTAGTTAAAACCCTCATCTCGGGATACGTTTGCAACAAATTTTTTTTGTCCAGCACCTGTATATAAACAAAAATAGATGCCTATATAATACTTTGCTGTCACTCAATTTTGTTCTATTTTCTACGATACAGCAAGCTGCCTTTGGACTTTAGATCTGTTTTTCAAGATATTTGTGGACCTTCCCTGACTTTACTTTATTGATACCTTCCCTGGGCATAGTACTGAACAACTAAATGAAAGCTGACCTAGGAGATCCTGCTGAACTCCACTTGACACCTTTTTCTAGTTTGGTAATAGACCACTGAGAACAGCCCAGAAGCAGTGATCCAAGCAATTTCACACTCATTCATAGAATTTTTATTAAACTCAGGTTTTCTAGCACTTTTATAATAATGTCCTGTCAAGCAGTGCAAGAAATCTCATCAGTCTCAGAAACCTAACACAATACCATCTCTTCCATAGCCACAGGGACTGCAGATATTCCCCTTGCTGAAGAAAACTAAATTATGAAGACACAATTTGCTCCTGACAAACTTCTACTTAGTTCTTTGCTATATGCTGGGAGTTTGCAAACACTTTTTTTTTTTTATCATTCCTGAGTCTGCTGGCACAGAAGTCAACTCATCCAGATTTCCACCTTTCTCAGGTGGCACTGTGTTTGACAGCCAAAAGGGTGCATGGTGATCTGAGACTTTCAACTGCCCCTTTTTGGGAAAGGCGCTGAAGATGCTTAATGATGCATTATAAGTTTGGAGAAAACAGCAAGTTTCCACATGTTATGAAGTAGTAATTCTGTCATCCCTGGAACACTAGCCTACACAATTTCTTCCTACAGCATTGGTCCATGTGCAACTGGTTTCAGATGCTGTGGCTGGTATGAGCTGCAATTAATTAGGGCCCGTCAAGAACTTGAGCATCTCTTTAGTTTGCTCCCTCAGTAGGTTTCTGGTTTTTAATAAAAAGTTTCATGTGGCAGCTTGTCTCTTAGGCATGGCAACTTGAGAATTTTTTACAGTGTGGAAATTATCTCTAAGGCTCTTGTTTCTGTCATATTCGGTTAAAATGAGCAAGGATCTCTGAATTTATCAGAGAAATGCAGTATTACAATTACAATCACGTTCCCCTTCTTTCCAGAGGAAAGTCAGTAATCTTCAGACAAAGCATGTTGAGTGACAGAACAATCCATCTGTTTGTGACATCTTGCCAACTAGAAATACTCTGAATAAACAGTATCTTGAATTATAGATATATTTTCTACTTACTTAATGGTTTCAAGTCCAACACTGGCTTATGGGAATCCAGAAATGTTTCAAGTAAGGGAGGGGGATTGTAACTAGACAATCTTTAAGGTCTCTTCCAACCTAAGCCGCTCTAAGATTCTATTATTTTCTGTGGAGTGAGAGAAACAGTCATAAAACCATACAAGGAGCGGTGTAGGTAGAAAGCTATTATAGCAATTATTTCCCTAAGGTGGAAACACAATCTAAGATAATGAATATAGAAGACATGCTCTTCGTTCTTCCAGACATACTCACTCAGAACCAGTTTTCTGGATTTGTGGAAATAGAGGCCACTTGTTTTCAGGTGTTTCTTGCTACATGTCTGTATTATTCACATGCTTGCAAGTGAATCAAGTATTTGTTCTACTTAGATTGTAAAAAAAAAACAAAAACCAAAAAACAAAAACAGCAGGAGGTTTTGTACTTAATGCAGTGTCTCTCTTCCTCTAAGATTCAAAACTGCTCTTACCTTTCTGAGATAAATTAACCTTATCACAGACTGTTCTTCTTCAAAGCATTATACTGGCAGCTGCACTTCTCTCCACAAACATGAAGCATGAAAAGGCAAACAGTATTTATTCTGAAGGCAATTTAATGTTCCAAGTGTTACATGCTTTCCACAAATACTCAGTATACAGACTTCAAATGAGATGCAAAACAGAGCAATTCCTTACACACTATTTACTGAGTGACTGTGAACTTGGCAAGCGTTCGCCATGACAGATCTAAACATCCTTTCTTAAATATTCCTAAAGTTTAACTCAGATAATGATGCACCTCACATACCAACACCTATCTATAAAGAATCCACATCATGTTCAACACACTATTGTGTTCCTCTAGCTAAACTAAAATGCTAATTGAAAGAGAAGTCTAGAAACCCAATAACTTCCTGCCAGCAAAGGAAGGAAGCATTCCAAGATTTTAAAACCATCATTTCATACTCCAGGATAACAGGCCTATTTGTGCACACTTCTAGTCATCTTTTTGATACGGGCAGTGTACAAACCACTTGGTGTGCCAATTACATACTTCTTTCTGTACTGATGTTATCCTAAACTGGAGCCTTAGTTCAAAGTAAAGCTGTGAAGCCGTGAATAAGCAAAATATGCATTTCTTTTCATTTTTGAAATAAATGTGGTTTTTGTTGGAATAGAAGTTAATAATAATTTAAGGTAAAGTGCAATAACTACATCTGAAAATGCTGGAGTGCCCTCATACCTGGAATACCCCCAATCTACAGTGTAGTTTCGTACAATGGATAGTAATATTTGTTCACAGCATCTCTTATGAAAAGTATGAGGGTTAGAGGTTAGTTAATAAATAAAGTTGAGATTATTCTGAACTATACCTGCATTTATTCACCTCTGCAATAGCTGATTGCCCTACATTTTTTAAATTACAAAATCATTTCTTTATAAGCAGTCAGACTCTAGGGCAGAAGACAGCAGCTGTCTGCAGGATGGTTAGAGCCCTCACATCACAGTTTTCTTTCAAACAAAATATTAAGCAGTAAGTCTCCAGTCATTCTGAACAGTACATATATTTGCAATCTCTAATTCCCCAAGCAATATTGAAAATATCTTATTATTATAATTTAGTAAGCACTATTGAAGAAATCTAACTCAAGGTAGGGCTTTATCTGAAGACAGCAACCGTAGCTGGGTTCCAGCCAATAAGTCTATCAGTATAAGGATCTAATCACAAGATTAATACCTGAGAATTGGTTAAAACTGAGCATTTCAGAATCAAGGAGAGAAGAAAAAATGGAAAAAGTAGCTGGCTTTCAACGAGTAACAAACATTGCTGTGTGTACAGTTACAAAGAAGTTTCATACAAAAATATGTGCCTTAAACCATGTTTCTGTCCAACAAATCTACAAGCAAGTGGTATAAATATTCATTGCTGCAATGAAGTAAAGATTTGGCTGCTTTTGTGATCCATTAATCAATCTGACAGTAGGCTACTTACCCACCTCAAAGTTCTCAAGAAGTTATATCCCCTACTAACAACTTTGCTTTACGGGTAATAGCATACGCATCAGCTTCCATTTTCTCAGCATAAATTTGAATACAAAATTATTAAAAAGATTTTACAATGCTTGAAAGCTAATTCACCCCAAAGTTCTTCTTAAAAGCCATTTTCCTAAAGATGATATTGTACAGAGTACATACTCATATTCGTAAAAAATAAGGACATGAGACTCAGTAGCAAAACATAGAGAAAATGTTATTTCTTGGTCTAGTATCCAACAAGGAAATACCACTTAACTAAAAACGCACATCTAAATCCTTAACCTACATACAGTTCTGATATTTGGTAGAATTTAAGTAGACCCCATTTTCTCCAAGTAATCACAACTAATATTTAAAAAAACTTACCTGTGCTTTGCACTGTTTTGTTATCAGATCTAGCATTAATAGCTTGCAAGAACCATAGGCATTCCAGAACTTAAATCCCAATGTAAAACTTTAAACTAACTGCACCCCTTACAAAACAAGCTGAAAACTAACAGAAAGCTTGAATCTACTATTCCTTTCTAATGCTGCAAGACTGAATATCACATTCCATTGATTACTGAAATCTGTCTTTTCTCTTTGTTTTTAAGCAGGTACCTATACTACCTATTTTTTTCCTAAATATCATCAGCAGAGCACTACTGGACTACTGTTTATGTCACTTTGCAAAGCTTTGCTGAGAAGTTAACTCTCAAATTAAATATACAGCTAGATACCTCAGGAGTCTTAGCAATTTAACCACACTGTCAATTTTGGTGATCTGTGTTCTGACATATTTCTGTGTAAGCTTCAATAACAAATTCAATACCAAACATGTCTGCAGAGGTAGAGAAGGATTCCCACAACATTTCTGTAAAAGGAAAGCGTGCAGCATGTTAATGTCCACAAATCAGCGGAAATACAGGAACATTCAAAACCCCTGAATTCCTATTTAGTTTTAGGGACTGGATCTTCTGTCAGCTATTTCCACACTTACACTGTCTAATTGCTTTGAGCCAGATATCCAGTGATAATCATTTTTCACTGGTCTCCTGCTGTACTTGGGGAAACAATCAAATGCTTTCTGATCCAAATTGATGCACATCCAGAATCCCTGTGTTACACTCCAGGATGGGAGGAACATGAGCACGCCCTTGTGGCCGATGTGCAATTACATCTACTTCTCAGCCGAGAAGGACGCACACATCAGAGCTGAGGACACAAAAATGGCAGCAGGCCTCTGATAAGTTTCTCTTATAAAGAATGCCTCAAGACAGAGGTTAACAAAACTGAGCCAAGCATGAAAAATGATCTACTGCAGGGGCTTCATTTCTAGTTATTGACACTTGGAAAAAATTTTTATCAAATGAAATGCTACATTTTAAAAAAAAGTGCAAAATAGAGCCAACCAGTGAAAATAGTTCAAGGGCTTTCATGTTCCTGTTACCTCTCTCTTCTCTGGAAGGAGGAGAAAGAACACAGTTGCCACCTGTTTCTACGACTTGGGAAGGCTGCTTATCTTAAGAAGATAAAATACAACCCTATTCATTTATCATTGTTTTAGATACTGTCTGAGCTGGAATGAAAGTTGAAAATCCATCCCACTCCACAGCTAACTTCATGTGATCTTCACCGGTGATTTCTTGTGTGCGCAGAGGAGGGTGACGTACGGAACACCAATGAATGCCCATCTCTCACTTGGCCAGAACTTTATGACTGGGCCCTGCTCAGGGATCTCGGAGGCAGCGTCGAAGTAAGCAAAACAGACACAGCCTAGGTAAGCCGCAAGGCAAATCAAAATGTGCCTGAGAATAGAGCAAACCCCCCCACCAAAAAAAGAAAAATTCAGTAACATGACTTCAATGAAGTTATCAAATACATCAGCATGACTTAAAATCAGTCTGTTACTCTCCTTCTTTTCCTAGTCCCTAACAGTGCTACTATACGCCAACGGGCAAAGAATACAGAGAATACATAAAGCTACAAAACTGGATCATCCTCTACATAAACTGTCTGCAGCTTTTTGGTCTCTTTCCACCTTACAGAGTTGTTTAGAAATGATGAATTATAGCACTTTGGATAAGAGGTCACAATTTGCTGTGACAAAAGAAAAAGCTGTTCACTGCTTCCACTTCATCCTCAGCTATTAACTGTGGATGCTTGAGCCTTTATGGTCATTGCTTCAGTTGAGCGGTGCTTTTGATTTTTAGTAGCCAGTAGGGACAGGAAATTCAGTTGCAATTAATCAACTTAGTGTCTGAAGAATGTGATCAGGCAAAATAGCCTTCTAAATCTGCACCCTGGATAGCGTGAGACTTGCTCCTGGCTTACAATCTTACCAGTAAATCCATTTAGCACCAACCAGAAATAGCCACTAGCAGCCTATGGACACAGCACAGAATGATACTGTGGTGAGGATCTGTCACGCTTGATTCAAACCATGGAGATTATGCACAACACTTACCATACACAGTGTAAATAGGGGAAGTTAAATGACGACCAAATTTCACAAAAAGCTTTGTCACTGATCCAGCAGAAAAGTGCTAGCATCCACCAAAGACCTGAAAACAGACCAAGTTTGTACACACGCAGGTTTTCACACCTGAGGAGAAAAATACAAAGAAGCTACTGTAAAACAAAGCAGTATTTGCTTGGTTCTTGATGCTCTTTGGCTCTAAGTAGCAGAATATGGGAGGGGAGAGGAGGGGAAAAAAAGGCTACGCACATCTTTAAAACACCTCCACTATAAATGCCCTGAATGGTGGAGCTTTACTTACAATAATATGACTCTGACGTGAGGCACGTGAGGTTACAAAACAAACCTCTCAATCAGTAGCTGTGTTTTGGGCATTATCTTAAATACCAAAGAGCAAATGGTGAGCAAACACTGAAGCACTGAGGGGATGAGGTCCCTTTCAACCCCTACAATTCTGTGATTCTGTGATTCTGTGGTATGTAGAATAACTAATTAGTCAAACATCCTGTCAGTAACAACTAGCCATTCAGCAATCAGTCAATTTTATTCACATTCTATCTTCCATCGATTTGCAACTATATGAAGATTGGTAATAAAGAGGAACAGAATGAGTTTTTTTTAATTAATTGGTTGATTTTTTTCCCCTACAGTATTGCAGTTCCAGAGAACTACTAACGCACAGGAGCAGAGGCATAGGATACAAACAAGTATGTTTCAGTAGACAGTGCAGGCATGCACATCTCACACAGAATTCTTCGCATTGTCTAAACTGCAATTCTCTCCCTCCACAACAAACCATACTTGTTAACATAGAGGGACACTGTAGTGAAAACATTTGCTGTGATCACATGCAGTGAGGTCTGCAGGTAATCATCACCAAATACAATAAGAGATGCAAGAGTATGTGCCTAGCACTGCCTGTGTTGCAGATCTATTCAAAAGCTCACAGTTTTATTCCCCTATATGATGCTTTGTTCTTTTCCATGTCTTGGAATTACACTAAGAACTACGCAGCTTTGCTCAAAAGACTAAAATAAAAAAAGGCAGCATCAATAATCTCTTGAAGTTATTAGCTTGCTCTCTACCCACACTTGCTATTTTGAGATTAGGCCTCTTTGTACCATTAGATGCAGTCCTGACACTTACAATGCAAAGCTAGCTTGAAACATGGGTAGTCCTACGTGGCCAAAGAATGTGTGGCTCAGTTTCCCTGCCTTCTGACCTAAGCTATTATTTGGGATTTTCCCCCATTTTTTCAAATTAACTGTTAAACTCTTAGTGTTCTTCACAAGAATCTGAAATGCTACTAGATAATTCTTACTTAATGAGCAGTCATTCTCATAGCAGTGATGCATACAATAAGCATCTGATCCAAATCAACTAATAAGATGACAAAGTAATTTGTTAAAGTTACTTATTTTAGCTAGTTGTCAACAGTAAATCAGTGAGCCAGCTGTCCAGCCAGTACAAGGAATACTCAGCCTTCATAGGAAGACACTGCCCACTACGTTCTTTTGCATTCTACTAGGAGTAGTAATGCCAACTCTGTCTTCAAGCTACAACTTTTCATTACATTCTTCCTCATGTTAAACACTCTTAACTACTAGCACCCACAGATAATGCCTCCTGCCTCTCTGTGGAGGAAAAGCAGAACTGCAGCAGCTATCACGGCTTTGCTAAAGGAGTCCAGCTAGGCATTCAGAAAAAGTGAAAATAAAGTACTCTCTACCGAAACATTTTTCTGAATACATTGCAGAACCAATAGTTTACCTTGCTCTGGTGCACTGCAAGCTAAGCAAATTGCACAGTTTTCTCCACAAATCTGTAAGGTATTTTTTAATCTTGAATGTTTTAGTTGACATTTTTGAGGTGTTTGGGATTAAGAAACTCCTAAGACTGAGTAGGAGGCGCCTCTATAGCCAGTGGATTAATGACAGAAAAACTACCTACTGCTTAATCTTGTGGGAATTTTCTCCAGTGTCCTCTGCACAAATTGGCTTTAGGTCAGGCATGCTTTTTTAAGTCATCTGTAAATAACATCACAATCAAAATCACACTAATCTTCAGGTATCACAATCTCTGCTTCCATGACAAAGGCATCTACATGACTTCCACAAAAAATCAATATTCCACATTGTGGAACGAAATGGCTTTTTGTTTGGCTTGAATTCTCCAGTTCATTTGACAAATAGCCTTTAAGAGGCTATAAAAAGCATGAAGAAAAGACTGAGGAGATTATTGAGTTGCCTAATGACTTCTAGAGCACAGCTACAAGAATTCTTTCTCTTGTGAAACAAGCCAGTGAGAAAAATACAATTTGACAGGTTTATAACAGAAACCATATTGGCAAACTCTCTTCCTATTCAACAGGTAAGACTAGACTGCTATGCTGAGTAACTGTGCATTCTGACTGAGCAAAGGTTGTGTGTACAGACAACATGGAGCCTTTCCAGGACCCGTCTGAGGAATGTAAATAAATATGTGCAATTGCATTCCATTTAAAGTAGGTGGCTTGACCTCAAACAGACAGCTCCTTTAGTCATTGAGTGACCACACTTGTCAGTATCTGAGTAGTTTTATCACCAAGGGGAGAGGTAACTATCATCATTACTTCAAACACGGCTGTATTCCAGACTGGTGTATCCCAGGATATGAGAGACTGGGCTGGTGCACACTTCCAACAGTATTATCTTCCAATGTCATGGCATCCATAACAAAACTTATCAACTTTTCTTCAAAATCAGTGTAGTTGCCGGACGTTGATTAATAACTTGATTTTGACACAGATGACTGCCTTGACAGCCTAGTTTTAAACTTCTAACTAGTTTAACCTTTTAGTCAAAGGAAAAGTGATGTGAGCAAGCTGAAACAATGAAATAGAGTTCCTCCACAATGAGACTGCTAGTAGCAGAATCAAATATGCATAAACAAACATGAAGGCAGTGTGGTCTTCACTGCTCAAGACAGAGATGTCAGCTAAACAAGAATGTCCTACCACACATCTGCTCAGGGAAATAGTTACTTGCATGAAGAGGACACTAAATCATACTAATCTGATGATGCTATAATCTTCATTGTTATTTGGCCTGGACCAGCAAGCAACATAATCCACAGCTGCTTTCTAGCTGATTGTATCCCTGTGACACCCACGAAGTTTTTCTGTTTGAACAGAAAAAAGGAAAAAAAAAAGTGTAAAATATCTTGTCTTTTGGGAGTGAGTATGCATTTAACTGCCTTTTGCTCTTTTGATCATCTTACATCCACAGCATGTCCTTAGCACTCTACTCCATGAGTTCTGCACTTAAGAGCATAAGGCTCTTTTGTGCAAATAGTCTCTCCTCATCAGAAATGAATGAGTGGCAGAAAATTCTCACTTGAAAACAAAGTGTTTCTGATTTGCTAGAATTCAGTATAAGATTTATAACAGCCTACAAAGGGAATAACACTGTGACATATTATACCAGAACACTTATTTAAGCACAGATCAGAAGAAACTTCTCTAAACCAAGAAGTTCTACTTCAGCAACTTCTTCTCCTTTCTTTCCAAAATATTTGCGTCACAGATTAAGAACCACAACAGCCTGCCAGGACTCAGCCTTGTATCCCCCTAGCGACTGCAGCAGTGGAGAACAGGAGAATCACAGGCATTAAATAATGTCTCAGTTGTTTTTTCTTCAGCAAAAAGAGGTGGGATGATCCCACTTCTAATTTGAATTTATCATGGATCAGCATAGCTTAAAATGAAATCTGTAATTATCTGCCTTTTACATTTACATCAAAAAAATACCAAAGCTATTACATTATCCAAATAGGTAATTCAGAGAGCATATATCACTCTAGGTCCACTTTTAATCATCACTTCAAAGGTAGGCTTCTCTGTGTCTGTAATTCTCAAAAAAACCTGATAGGTAAACTCCACATATTTTAATGCAACATGACTTCCCACATGGAATTTCAAAGAGCAAGTACATGCAGGCATATTAATTCCTAGATATGATCCAACAGCATTCAAACCTTAAAGACACTTAACTATTCACCCTCTCAAGTTTCTCAGGAGCTCATGCCTGGAAAACTGAAATGGCAGCTCAAATAATAGTTCAATGCCAGACACAAATTTCCCTTTGCCCTGCCAGTGATCCCCTGGTGCTTTCTTAAAAATAAGACACACCTACTAGCATTCTTAACCTACCAGCCTTCTCCTCTGCATGGAACTTCCATGCTGCTTCCCAAATTTCTCTGACAATAGCAATATCTGCTGCTTAGCAGAACATCAAAAGAAAAAAGACACAAGAACACTTATTCAGAACATGATTTGCAGATGCTTACACTGCAAGGGAAAGTAACATCAGAACAGGATATGGTGGGAAAACAGGACAATCTCACCAACAGAAGCAGTTAGAATGCAGGCATTTTGTCTTACTCTACATTATTTTGATGGACATTTTCAGATGCAGTGTAAGAGCCAACATAAGTCTGTCTCAGACACTGAAGAAAAGTAGGAAAGAAGTTTATACGCTGATGCTTGCCTGGTCCTTTCTGCCTTGGTGAGGAGATGCAAAAAAAGTCTCTCAAAGTCATGGTAGGACTCTTTAAAATGTTAAAACAAACCTCAGACTATTTTCTACCTGCAGTCTGGTTTCACAGTTTCTAAGGTGACTGAAAGGTACCCTCTGTGACCTAGCGATTAATCTTATCTTTGTCAGTCTGGCTCCAGCTTATTATTTGTGTGATGTAAGACGGACAGTAAGCCCTGTGAGCTGGCGTGTCTTCCATGCATGCTTGGACCTTGCTCCCTGCAGTACTCAGGCTGTGATCATATGATCATCTCACTCCTGTGCTACACAGTATAAAAGCCGTCACTGGAGTGAAACTTGCCAAAACTCCACAATGAATAGAGTTAGATCAGGAGGAGGGAAGAGATACAGTGCAAGAAGATAGACAACATCTGATCTGTTATATGAGGCAATGAGTATAATCACCTAGGGAAAAAAAAATCCTTGCCAAAAATGTCTGAACTTACAGAGCAATCTCATGCCAGATCTGTACAATGGAGAAGCATTTCTGATCTGCTATCACAAACAATGAAGCAAGATCTACTCTATCACTGTATGGTGGCCTAAGGATCTCCAAAGAGACTGCATTCAGGAGAAATGTACTCACCTCTTCAACTCAGCAATGAGTAAAGCTGTGCAAGGAACACCCAGAGTCATTAGTGAGATGTTATTAATGGCAGGTTTAATGAAGGCAAGGCAGGTAGTAACTCCAGACAGGACACCAACAGCAGCTTTAAACCGGCTCCTGAAAGTTTTTTTGTGGAGAGGAAAAGTGCTTTTAACTCAGAGCTTTTAATCAGTAAAGACAGAAATCTTAACACAACTTTAATAGCATAATAAAGCTTACATTTTTTTTGCGTGTGGTCAGGAGTGCAATGACAATGTGCATATAAAATGGATGAGGATCCTGCACACAAGCGCATACAGAGTGCATACTCTGCATACAGAGTTAATCACATAGCTAGCCTTTTCCTGAACTACAGTCTTCCAAAGCAGCCTTGTATATACATAGACATATGTGTGCATGTGTACACAGACCCACACTAACCACTGGTTTCAAAATCTTAAGAACCTGCTCCAATTTTTCTTCTTCCACAAGAAGCTGAGAGCAAGATCTTCTCTGTATCCAGCACTGTACTTCCTCAAATCAGCTTTGTGTCATGATTCTTCTTGCTTTTAACATGGATTTTTAGGATATTTTTGTTACTATTGCTGTCCTTGCTTTTAGAGCCGCACTACAGTCTGTTTAGTACGTTCTTTGTGTCAACGAAATCACAGTTGGGCCACAAATGGACAGTGACAACTTCTAAAACAAACATACATTGTTTTTTAAATTTCAAATTTGGACTTTTAAACAACTCATTTCTAGTCTGTGACAGGACTGTGGAAGATATAGGACCATTACACTGTCTCCAGGCTACTGACCCACAACTCCATAAAACTAGTTGATGTTCAGGGATGCCTCTTTTCTCTTTAATTCCACATCTCAAGTAGAATCTCAGTACACCTGTTATCACCATTCCCTGATCATCAGTATTATCATCCTCATCTTCACCAAACTCATTTCATGGGCCTCTTGTTTCAAAGCATTTTAAAGTTGGAAGGCAACACATTACACAAGCAGGAAGGTCTGATCTGATGTGAGTGCCTTAATGACTGAAGATACCATGAATCAGTCATGGTAAATAATAGCATTTTCAACATTCAAAATCGGAGTGTGAGAAGGATGAAGAATGTAAAAAATCAGAGCAGAGTACTGGGCATATATAACTCTAGAAAAATAAGTTAAACAAAACAAAACATGGAAATATGTATGTGTATGTACATATAAAAATCCCCAAATCATAGAATTGCGGGGGTTGGAAGGGACTGCAAGAGAACAGCAAGTCCAATGCCCCCACTGAAGCAGGTTCCCTACAGGAACAGTATAGTCACCCATGTAGGTGTCCAGACGAGTCTCAAATATCTCCACAGAAGACTCCACAACCTCTCTAGGCAACCAGTTCCATCGCTCTGTCACCCTTACCATAAAGAAGTTCTTCTGTATGACTATATGGAACTTCCTATGTTCATGGTTTAGTCCCACCAACCTTCAGATATTCACAAACATTTAACAGATCCCCTTCAGTCTTCTTTTGCCCAAGTTGAACAGACCCAGGATACTCAGCCTTTCTTCATAGGAGAGATGCTCCAGGCCCTTTATCATGTTTGTGGCCCTCTGCTGGACTCCTTCTAGATGATCTCTGTCTTTCTTGAACTGGCAAGCCCAAAACTGGACACAGTATGCTAAACGTGGCCTCAGTGGGGCAGAGTAGAGGAGGAGCATCACCTTCCTTTATATGTCTATGCATAAATCTGATCTGTTCTCAGATAGACGTTTTTGTCCATTAAAATTCTTTTTTTTTTCTGTGCACTTCAGAAAGAAAGCAAAATCTTAACAAATACTGACAGTCTTTAGGAAAATAGTATTGTAAAAACATGAGCATGGGGTACATCCTTCAGTTCATCTCTGTATTTTTATGGATCGATTATAAACAGCCAGATCATTATGTATCACTTTAGTTTTATCACCAAGTTGAAACAGGATTTCTCCACTAAAGTATTACTACTCCTTTTAGAAAGGATATCACTTAACCTTATGGCTAATTCTACAAATCTATAAAACAAACTATCAGAATATGGTGATATATAACATGCAAGAATTCCTTCAGGCTTTTGAGGAACAATGTATGTGCAGTTAGAGAAATTATTCAGGAGACTGAACAGTTCTTCACTTTAACTAACTATCTAAAAGTCATGTAATCTACCAAATAATCTCATGAAAACCTCTGTTTGCTCTTTAAGTATATGGTATCTTACAACAGGACTACATTACAGTATGAAAAAGTACTAAATTCGTGGTAATAACTTGGCAAAGCTATTGCATTACGGACTACATATGATAATACAAGATATACTCCTCACAGTGCAAGCTATTTTGAGGAATACTCAATGCAGGCAACAACCTTCTCTGTGAAAGCATTTTCTAATTGAGTATATGTCAAGGAAATAAAAAATGAAGAAAGTAGACAATAGTATGAGAAAGAAAAAGGAAGGAGCCTTAGCAGTTTTCAGAGAGCAGAACACTGGCGCTGCGATTCCATTATTCCATTATTATTCCATTGTTATTCCACCTCTTCATTATGTCAGATTTTTTATGCATAAAAGAACAATATGCACAAAGATTACACCATATTTTCTATGTAAGGGGGAAAAAAATCACAAACAGATTCTTTAAACTCTGGTTATAATGCTCTTCTTGTTGAACTTCATGCCACTGGCCTCAGCCCAGAAAGGGCTTGGGGCAGAATGGCTTGAAGACTGTGTGGAAGAAACGGACCTGGGGCTGTGGGCTAATGCTTGTCTAAACAAGTGTCAGCGGTGTACCCAGGCAGCCAAGAAGGCTAATGACATCCTGGCTTATATAAGAAATAGTGAAGCCAGCAAGAGCAGGGAGCTGATCGTAACTCTGTACTCAGCTCCGGTGAGGCCACATCTCAAGTACTATGTTCAGTTTTGGCTCTGACTACGAGAAAGACATCGAAGCACATTCGGAGAAGGCTAGCATAGCTGGTGAGGGGTCTGGAGCATGTCTCCAGGAGGAGCAGGGGAAGGAGCTGGGATTGTTTAGGCTGGAGAAGAGGAGGTTTGGGGAGACATTATAACTCCCCACAATTTCTTCAAAGGAGCTTGTGGCAAGGTGGGGGTTGGCATCCTCTCCCACCTAACTAGCAACAGGACTAGAGGAAATGGCCTCAGGTTGTACCATGGGAGGTTCACATTGGATATTAGGAAAAAATTATTCTCTGTGAGAGGGTTAGGCATTGAAATGGGCTGTACAAGGGAGGTGCTTGAGTCATCATCCTTGGAGGTGTTCAAGCAACATTCAGACGCTGTACTAAGGGACACAGTTTAGAAATATTAGTACTAGGTGGATGGTTGGACTGGATGATCTTGGAGGTATTTTTCAACCTTGGTGATCCTGTGATTCTATTTTAAAGCTGCAATAAAAAAACATCCATTGCAGCAATGAGAGACTTCTAAACAAACAGCATACTTAGTCTTTGAATACTTACAAACTACATTTAACCTCTGGCTTAAATGTTCAGATAAACATTAAGCTGACTTCCACAGGTACATTCTCATATGTATAATCCCGGATACACAAAAGGAACATGAGAAGATAGTACCTGTTACTTCATTTCAGGTGCAACTTACATAAACTATTCATGTCTTTCTAGAGCTAACAAGAATAGGCACTTTCAGAGTCAATCATCACATCCCAAAACTTGAAGTTTCAGGGCATAAAACTCAACATCAGGAACACAGACTCAGGACTCCTGAACAAAAAGAACATAAGATGAAATGTTTCAAGAAACAGGCATGTGTACTACATTGCACGATTACCTGTCATTCCGAAAAACTCTTGGTAGATATCTTCTAGGGAACCACATGGCAAGAGCACACATAAGAACCCAGAGTATAGCCAGCTCATCCAGCATCTGGCCCAGGAAACTGAGGGTGGCATGAAAGTAAACAGATCCAATTCCTGAAAGAGTTGATCAGAAGTTACAGTCAGTAGTTACAGTGCTGTACAGACTAAAACACGCTGCTCATTATCAGGAATTCATAGCAAATAGTTCATACAATCTGATCTAGAAAAAAAAACAAAGCAAAACACCAGCTTGTCTAAAAAAGCAAACTAAAACATCAGCACCTCATATTAAATGAATCAATAAATAAATATAGATAACTATTAAACACACACATTGCCAAAGAGGGAGCTAAAGGTGCCATCTCCAAGTGGAGAAGTAAATATACGCAAAAAAAAAACCATCGTGTAGTAAATTTAAATGTAAATACAATTAAGAAGTGAATTCAAATGCTCTTTCTGAATTTTCTCAGTTTTCTCAATAACACAAGAACGGATAACATGAAGATGGAAAGCAGCATGTGATGACTATACAATCTAAGTTTACAAGTGGAAAGTGGCACATGGCCCACATAACTCTGAGTACCCCCTTTAAAGTTGTCAGTGCTTGTAGAACTGAAAAAGTTCAAGAATTTGCCATCTACAATATTGCTAAATCTGTGGATCAGTCATTAAAATGTCTAACTACTAAGCAAAACCTGTTATGTTCTCCAGTTTTGTTAAGAACTCTTAGCAATCATTAATTCAGCATCAGAGGATGGAGAGTCAGCACTGCTCTAGTGTAAGCCTGGATACAATAACAGAACTTGTACAAAGGAGAGACAAAAAGGGTGCAGAACTAAGGTCAAAGTCCCTCCGGACTCCAACTGCAAGAGGCATTTTCCTTTCAGAAACTACATCTACTTTTGCTTCAAGCAAGTGCAAGCAAACTCTTCTACAGACGTCAATATTGCTTTGTTTTGCAGAAACAATCATGCACAAGCAGGAAAAACCGATTTCCTCTCTCGTTCATGCATGAGCAGGCAAACAGAGATTAATCAACTTACCGACCACAACTAGTAGAGTCCATATTAAATATATTCCACTGTTGAAGCAGGTTGCATATTGACGGAATAAGCACATGCATATGGGTGGTAAAACAAAAAACAAGACGTTGCTTATCTATTAAAAAAAAAAAAAGTATCACAAAGACAGAAAATAAACATTTAGTTTCTATAGGATAATCCATCTACAAAAAGTCATTCAGTGATACCTCAGCTCAATAAAATGTGGTTCTCGGATTCTGCCAAAGCAGATCAGTTTTTGCAAAGTATCATTAAGCTGAACTTCATAAGCTAGTAAAAGCATAAAACTCCAAGCAATGTAAATTGTGGCTAGTCACACGTTTAAATGACTTTTCAAGTCTATTTCCAGAGGAATTTTATTAGAAGGCTGCAAATACTCTGCTGTAATTCAGGAAGTCTTCAACAGCAAACAGATTAACAGCAGGGAGCTGTAGCAAGTGAATTCTCTTCTCAGTCCTTGTCAAATCCAGCATGGAAAAAGCACTAGATAGGCTGTTCAGTTTTGTTGAAGTCAGGTCAATGAACAATTGCTATTGTTTGGCAGACCTGAAACACAAAGTTAAGCTGAAAGAGTTTGAACCATTTTTCGAAGGGTTAAGAAAGCTTTAAGTTGTAAATCCTCTATACACTTTATTTCTTCCCCTGGTTCTCCGTTACAGAAGTGAAAAAATAAAACTGAAAACTAGTATTTTGACTATTGTCAAAAGACAATTGATAACTTTATTATTTTAATGCAGCATATGTGTCTTGAACAAAGATCCGTTTTTAATTGCTTAGCAACAATCCAAAGCATCATTCTTTGGTTACACGCTGAAAATGCTTTACCTGTCACTAGCAGGAGCTGTTACTGCAGTATCATACAGTTCTTTTAGTAAGAAATTGCCTATGCTGAAGGCCAGCCACAGACATACTGCTACTTCACAATGGGACAAGGGCAAGGATGAACTTCCCAGCCTTGATCTCCTCACAATCTCTGCAGCTAACCGAGGCACGTGACAAAATAATCTCTAGCAACGTCCCCCTAAAATGGACTTATAAAAGAATTCTGTGATAAACAGCATTCCTTTGGGATAGATCTCCTCCCCTCAGACATTCATGGACACTTAATGACATGAATAAAAATCTAATAGAAAAGGATTCAGGAACGGCATACAGAGAAGGCATTTATTCATTTCATAACTATCCACCATTCAACTGTCTCAGACAATGTGAAAGCAGAGGTTGCAGTGACTAAAATGGGCACATCTAATTTAACTTTTGCAAGACTCGTCAAAACATACTCCTAGTTTGGCATCCAAACTGACAAATAACTATAGCAGTAGCTTTTCTACTTCATGTGTGCCACTTTCCTTCACACTGAAGGTACCTCCTCAAAGACAAGCTGCATTTCTTTCAAAATTCATTTAAGTAAAACACTTAGAAAGATCTATCACATGCTCATTTTAGAGATGTAAAATCCTGTATCTTCTCTACCTAGAACAAAGCTAGAGCAGCCACTAGAAAAAAACAGCAGGAAGAAATTTCTGTACTGACACCATCTTTAGACACCTTAACAAACTAACATCTGCTGAAGCATGTGTCCTAAGGCTCCATGAAAAGCGCACAGACAGTTTCACTGCCATGAACATCTGGTTGCCTGATGGTGGGGTGCAAAGACAAAGAGAAAAGAGGGTATGGATAGAAAGAGAAAAGAGCGTGGCAGCTTTCAGAGACAAAAAGCATGAGTTTCCTACCACGAGGAGAAGTCACCATGCTTCTAGCAGTTGGGCCACAACGATAACCAGTCTCAATGGGGAAATACTAGAACAGAGCTACTGCTCTGCTCCCACTGGATTGCCCTTCTAAACCAACATGAGGAAGGACAAAATCCTCTGGCTCATTTTGACACAGACCAGGCCCCTCAAGGACGTTTTCACAGAAGCCACTCACACTGCTCAGCTTTGAACTGCCAGCTTACTCTGCCTTGCTCCCAGACTTCTCCAGACTGTGGTCAAAGCTGCCCGAGTGCAGAGCAGGCCAGAGCCTTACCAGTTTCATTTAAACGTCTTTACAAACTGTCGTCTAATTAATCCTTTCTCTCTTCCTGCAAGCTGAAGTATGAAACCAGCCTCACAGTTATGAAAAAGCTGTCTGCAGTGTTGTAGACAAAGCACCTCCTAAGTAGCAACAGAACACCTCAATCCACCAAGGCAGCAAATCCTGCCACCACTACAATGGCAGGAGGCACCTAGCAATGCCAGAGTGCAGCACATCCCTGAGGATGCAACAGAAAGACCAAAGACTTATTTACAGACAATGTCCTAAATCACATTTTAAGAGACAAATTTGCTTAAGTTGCATAAAACCTCCACATTCACCCAAATATGTTCATGCAAACATCTTTCATTCACATAAAAGCCACCCACCACTGTGCAGCAAAGATATACTGGGCCATCTGGAACATACTCATGGACCAGAGTTGTAGTCTGCTACCTTCTTTTACAAGCAGAGAGTGGGAAGGCTCTCCTTATCCTACAGCAGATTGGAAACAAACAATGACTGGCAGCAGGGATGATGGAATATAAGCAGGTCCTCCGAGAGCCTCAGAATGCTCTGAACATTTTAAGCCAAGGTTAGGTCAAAGAGATATCAAGGAAAAAAAATAAAACAACCCAAAAAATGATTATAAACTAAGGAATGTGAAAAAGAATCTTTTCAGTAAAGTAAATCAGACTAAGTAATCACACTGAGTAAAAACTAGGCTAGATTTATACTCACTGCAATGGCCTACAGGGAAATTACATATCATTGTAAAATCCGAAAGAATTTTGATGCCCAAATTCTTTTCTGTTAAGTTTGGAAATAAAACATGATACTACTGCCTCTCTTTCATGAAATAACTCAGTTTTGTTTCTTATATTCCACACACAGTAATTTCCAAAAGCTGTATTCATACCAGAGCTCTGGAACATGATCTGAAATATGCTGCTTAAGTTCTCTTAGTTTCAAGTTCACAGTTAACTACATCAACACGAGAGCTGACTAGCTGGCTTTCAGCCTCTGCTATCAGCCTGGCTCCCTACAAGAACCGCACCCTTAGAATCACTGCCAGGATTAATGCCAGGTTTCCCAAATAAGTGAGGCACCTATCCACTGGGCTCTGATTTTAGAAAGTATGTTGCATAAACAAGTTTTCACGTAATACACAACTGGCCTATAAGATTTGGTAATGTACAATTCAAAAGTCTATAAAGTTAAGATCAGTGCAAGGAGTTTAAAGAAGAGGAGTACCTAGAATTTCCTTTGGGATTTACAAAAAGGTAATTCAAAGTTACAGGAAAAGGTAAGAAGCCCATCAATAAACGTCCATCTTCTGGCATTAAACAATTCTGGACCTCTACTTTTAATTTCCAACTACTTACTTGTATGAAAAGAATGCAGGACACAGATGGAATTCCAGTGGCCAGCTCAGATCACGACCACATAATTTTGCCCACGCAGTCTGTGTGTGATATTTCCCATGGTCTTACCAAAAATTATTTACTATTTGCTAAGTCAGACTGCTAGCAGCTGCAGCATTCAGCCACTGAGGCTGCATGTCTTGTGAGAATGGGAAGCAAAAACGGAATATCTCTTCAGTGAAGTTAGAGGTTTGTATCTTTAGCATTCTGACACAAGAGCACACCACATACATATATTGCAATACTAAAGTAGTAAAAAGGGTGTTGCCAGAGTATAAGCATATTCTCAATCTAAGAGCCTCTAAAAACATTTATCTCCTTGCTACTACAGACCAGACAAGGAATAAAACCACTGGCAATACTCTTCAAAGGGAAATTTGGCAATAAATATATGCACAATTGGATATAAAACACTAAACTGAAAAGTACCAATTTCACTAGTAACAAAAAAAGTTAGAGTTTTCAGTTTTTCCAGAAATTTTTTTTGTTTTGTTTTGTTTTCTTTTGCAAATACCTCTGCACATGTAATCTTTTTTTTTAGTGTGTGGAGGTATGTGCTTTTGTTCAAGAGTAAGATTACACTGTATAAGGATTAATTATTAAATAGCAAAATAAAATTTAAAAAAAAGCTAGTTTTCTTATAATTTTCTAGTTATGAAATATTTTTAGTGTGTAACATGAAATCATCTTGGACGTGTACGTTTTATAAAAATTGTGCGACTAATTCGTGCAGAACTGCTGAACAGATATTCTTCTACTCAATCCTGATGAGCACTTTGATTTGCTTTTTAACAAGATCAAGTTAAATTTACGCATAACGTTGAGTCCCACAAGAATAATTAAATGGATCTTTCTAAATATGTTTCAGATAAGCTGTTCCAGTTTTCTGCTTATATACTGCATGAGACCCAAACGACATCTCTGACTTAGCTGTGGCAATCTAAAATGCGGATTAGCAAGGTTTTAATCTACAGCTTGAAGACCCAGATCCCACATTCAGGTCTGCTGAAGAATGTTACCTGAAACTTCTAAAGGTTTTCAGTCAGTGTCAGAACAGAAACATCTAAGAAGGAATAAAATTCAGAGTCCACTTGCAGCACCTGTCAGGGCCAAATCTTTCCTGCCAAGCTGTAAGAATCTCTCTCTCCAGCAACACAATCACTCAGCCCCCAACAATTCACTGCAAATTAGTTTTCAGAAGCTGCAAATACAGAAGTCAGTCTCCATAATCTCTTCACTACTGAAGCAAATCTACCCTCAACACAGCCTCTACTCCCCATGTTTTTGATGTACAATTAGCTAATTTGGATGATGCTTCTGCAATACAGAGAGTTTCAGGGTAAGCTCTGTGTTGTGCCTCTCTGCTTGTCTGGAAGCTGAGTTAATCACCTGGACATACTTGCAGCTCCCAGCATTTTGCAAGCTTTCTTGCCACAGCTCATCAGCTCAGAGCAGTCAGAAGGATATCCAACCCCCTGCATTGCTGGCTTCAAAACACATCGCTTCTTCAAGAAACTTGTTGTTTATCCTGACCTTTTCCTCCCTTTGTTTTTGGTTCTTGCACAGTGACATCAGAAACAAAGAAAGCAGACTGTTTCACCACACACCCTCAAACACAGACGATACACCACTCAGATGACTCTGGTGCTGAGCTACAAGGAAAAACAACAGGTTAGCCATGTACACCATGCACAGTTGAACTATTTGTTATAAATGGAGTGCATCCCTGGGTACACACTCCTGTGAGGGATGAACACTCGAGACACCTCCTTCCTTCACAGAAGTACAGCACTAGCATCTGATGTTAGCAGTCAAGAAACACAGTCTGAAAGAGAGCTCAGACAAGGACAGAATTTGGGGAAGAAATTAAAAGGCCATTTTGAAGTACGTAAGTCAGACAAAGCAGAAATCCCACCTCACACCTGCCACAGAACATAAAACCCAGAGCAACACCAGAGGCATGTTGTTTGCAGCGCTCCCTCCCAGTGACATGGTAAAGCACATCACCAGAAAGCCCGATGATGTGTGATCTCACTCCCTGTTGGATCTGTTTGTCACTGCAAACTCTCAGATGAATAAACAGGATGCTGGGAGCAGCGCTCCCCTCCCAGATCTCTGCGGTGGGGAATACTCTTCCACCAGTGCTCCCTAGCAGCACTCCACAGCAGCTCTGGGCTGGGATGACAGGAGTCAGGAGTGAAACAGGGCTCCTAGAGGAAGTAATAATTACTTCGGTCCTCTTTCCTCTCCCTCCTTTTTTCACGTTTCTTCCTCCCAGCAGCACTGCGCTGACTGCACCCTGCAGCCCTCTGTCAAACTGCTCCTCTAACTTTGGCTCTGGGAGAAGGCAAAGCTCTAAAACATGGTTTTGCCTGCAGACACCGAGTTGCCTGCTAGCGGCCCGCCCCTGCCCGGCACGCCGTCGGGCAGACTTACACCTGCACCACTGGACAGCAGCTGCGGCAGCACGGCACGGGACACCCGCGAGCGGGCCAGCACCGGTCAGGAGGACATGCACGCCGTTCGCTCGTAGCTCGCAGCCCTGTCTAAACCTCCGGATTTTTGCGCCTGCGATACGAAACCGCACAGCTGGCTGTCACTCCTGGTACCGCGTCCGGCAGGACACCGGCGGAGCCCCTCCGCGAGCCCCTCAGCACCGCCAGCCGAAGAGGCACCGTGCCCGGGCAGGCGCCAGACCCGCCCTCGCAGCCCGCGCCTGTGCCCGGCCCGCGGCCCCGCCTCCCTCCCACCGCGCACCGTGTTGTAGAACTCGGCGATGGCGGGCACGATGGTGTAGTTGTCCTCGCACCAATCCACCTCGGAGCTGCCGGCCCGCAGTTGGTCCCACCACAGCATCGCGCCCATGGCGCCCGCCCGCCCCTGCCCGGCGACCGCGGCTCGGCGGGGCGGGGCGGAGCGGGGAGGGCGGGGCGGCTCTCCTCCCTCCCACCTCCCTCAGCCCCGCCCTAGTGGCGGGGCGGCCCGGTTTGCGTGGCTGTGGCTGTCGGGGCTTGCTTCGTGCCATGGGGCGCTTCCCAGGCGTTTCTTTCCTGTTTCTCTGCCCTGTGCTCAGCGCGCAGCCTGCCCGCCTCCTTCCTGCCCTCTCCCAGCCCGCCTTCCTTTGTGTGCATTAACAGTGCTCGTTCTAACACTTGGATGAAAATGGCTTGTCACGTTTTTTCTGCGCTGCTTTGCCCCTTGTCCTCTCAGCTGAAAAGAGCCTGGTGCACCATCTCGCTGTACCATCCTCTGAACTCCTGCATTTTGGGTATTTATAAGCAGTGATGAGATCTCTTTTCTGTGGGAGAAGCCGCTTCTCCAGGCTGAACCCTGGTCTCTCAGGCTTTCCACGCAAAACGGATGCTCCAGATTCCTAATCATCTTTGT